TATTTCCTATTTATTTAGGATTATTTTATATTGTAATTTTAATTGATTTTAACTGCTTTATAAACCTCCCAGAGTTGTTTTTTAACGGGATGGGCAGTGACAAATTTGATTGATTGATTGATTGATTGATTGAGAAAGAAAGAAAGAAAGACAGACAGACAGACAGACAGACAGACAGACACTGCCAAGATTCCAGGAATGCTATTTTATTTTGTAGGATATCTTAACAGAATCTTGAAAGCCTTTCCAAAACCTTCCCTGCCCCTTTTTTAAGGACAGCATGTCAAGGCGGGATTATTCTCTTCCAGGGTCTCTTTCTCACCCTTTCTTCTTTCCTAGGACTCAGCAACCATTTAACCTCTCCACTTCCACCTCACTGACAGAGCTAAATTCCTCTACACCAGGTTGTGGTGGCTGAGCTTGGGTAGTACACTGATCCTTAATTGTCCAGTTCAGATTTCTTTAAGCATGTGCCTATCTTTGCTTTGAAAGCACCACTCATTTCAAGGTTTACAACCCCAGTAGGATTTAGTTTGTCCTTTTCCTAACTTTTTTGTGCTGTTAAAGACAGCTATAGTAATACCATCTGTCACCTTGAACCTCAGTGCAATAAGGAGCACAAAAAAGACAGCCAGAAGCTAAAGGAAGCTACCCCTAATTTAAAAATCTGGAGGAGCAATTAGGCAAGTTGCTGAGCAGTTTTTAAAATTCATGAAATGTGCTGGGAAAGAAAACTGCAACTGTACAAATAGTGACAGGATTCAAGTTTTCATGCAGTACATGCGTGCCACTGTTTTCCCTCTTCATTTCTGGCTGTATAAGCTTTTGTTTTCCTGTGTCATCTGAACCCAAAGTTCAGTGTTGAGTTTGCACAAGCCAAACATTATACCCAGCTAGATTACCACATTTCAAAGAAATGCAAATAATCCTACATGCTTGCATACGAATCCCTATTTTCACAACAGTTGCAGGAAAGTAGACACAGAAAGGGGAGGAGGGATAAGAAGAGGCAAATATCCTCTTTCCCATACTTTTGTTTATTGTTGCTACTTAGTTATATGATTATTAGTATTCTGTCACTTCTCGGTCCTTTTGTAATCTCCATGTTTTGCTCTCATCTTTCATGTTCTTACTGCTATTCAGAAAAATAAGCTTTCTGGCAACCAACTTCAAAAATCTATCACAAAAAGGGTATTAGAAATCTGAAACTTGCTCAGAATGTTGGGAATTTTAAAAGGTGTGTGAAGAGGGCGATGGTGTGGGATTAATTTACCATGATTTTTTTTAAATAGCAGAGGCTTCTAGCATACAGTTCTGTCTCCATTGGAGAAGGATTCTGTTTCTGGTATATGATAGAAGAGGCCGTTCAAAATATTTTTATTTACTCCTTGCCGAAGCCCTATTAAACTTTGCTATCTTAGTTTAATGTGATCGTGTGAGCATGTATGTAAATTTAATAAATAATAACCTTGGAATCTGCATACATATAGTTACAGAGCTTTGAGCTATTAAATTGTGTTCCAACTCACCTCTTGCAAGCCTTCCTGTGACTTGCACTCACATCAGATCAAGGTGCTGCCACTAATATTGCTAATATAAATAAAGTAAAACATTTATTTATGTTGACATTTAAATCCATGCAATGCACCTATTTGATTCCAGCCTAACTCATTTTAGTTCACTAAGAAATTTATGTGCATTGGCATTTTTTATTACTATAGGTGGGATGGGAAATTTGTTGTCACTATTGCATCCAGTAGCTTTCCTTTGACTATTTGAAAAAGTGCAGACAGAAACTTTATTGCAGTCTATGAAGATTACATACAGCTGTGTATATTTATAGTCTGTTTTAGCAACAATAGAGAGTAGTTTTTTAAATTAAAATCTAGACCTCCTCACTATGTCTCACCATATGTTCCTTCTGGTCTTCCCTCACAGCTGCCCTAATGTTCAATATTCAATGTTGCTGCTATAGTTAGATAAAACAAGTCTGTGCAGCACTTCAGAATGCAAAAAGGTGTTGTGGAATGCACTGTGGTGCTCATGTGATATCTCTTAACAATTCCTTAAAGCAGCTGTGTATTTTCCCAGGATCGCATGATTATACAATCTACAGCTTCCCAATGTGATTCTGAAAAATATGCGACTTGATGCTAAATGCTTGCCCATACATGCTCCAAAGCGACCTCGCTAAGGTAAAATACCTATTTCCAAAATGAAGACTAGATGGCAGTGTTCTTAAAAGTTGCTCAATTCAGTCATTAACCCAGAATGCAAAAAATAACCAGCAGCAATACTTGGACAGCTTCTAGCTCTTATCACCTGTTTTGAAGCCTGTAAGCCAGTGTTGTCCAAACTTGGCCACTTTAAGATGAGTGGACTTCAACTCCCAGAATTCCCCAGCCTGGCTGGGAAA